CTCCCACTGATGCTGATAAAGGATTATACCTTGACACTGTCGTGATTGTGAAAGTGAAACACAAGGAAGGTCAATTCCGCAGTGAAATTGCGCTAAAAATTCAGGGATTGCCTTCAGTTATTTTCTCTTTAGCAGTTTCATTTTGAATAAAAGATATGTCAGCTTTGAAGCTCTTTAATTACCTTGGAGAAGTGTGACATGAATTTTCATACAAATATGGTTTTTATGCAAAGTGGAAATCTTGTGTTTGTCAAAGAAACTCACAATGCATTTGTTTGTTTTCAGAATCTGAGTTCCCTTTTTCATGAAAGGATACACACCTTTAGCAATACATGTTGCTATCTCTAAAAGAGCTGTATGTCTTACGAGTATTTTGAGAAACTCTGAGCCAGGCTAATTTCTGACACAGTAAGGGACAACTGCAGTCTGTATCTGAGATCTTCATAGCAGGAGAGCAAGGAGAAATACTGACTACAGTTTCCTTCTATGGCAGCCTGGGGCACTACACTTAAAAGACAGAAATGAGTATTTCACCACAGACCATACCTACAATACTTAGTGAGTGAACATTGATAAAAAACTGAGTAATTAGGTACATTATTTCAGAGAATTCTTGAATCATACAATCATAGAATAGTTCGGGTTGGAAGGGACTTTTAAAGGTCATCTAGTCCAACCTACCCTGCAATAAGCAGGAACATCTTAAGGTAGATCAGGTTGCTCAGAGCCCCGTCCAACCTGACCTTGAACATTTCCGGGGATGGCATGTCTAACACTTCTCTGGGCAACCTTTTCCAGTGTTTCACCACCCTCATTGTAAAGAATCCCTTCCTTACATGTAGTCTAAATCTACCCTTTTTTAGTTTAAAACCATTAGGTCTAGTCCTATCGCAACAGGTCCTCCTAAAATGTTTGCCCCCATCTTTGTTATAGTCCCCCTGTAAGTATTGAAAGGCTGCAATAAGGTCTCCCAAAGCTTTCTCTTCTCAAGGCTGAACAACCCCAACTCTCTCAGCCTTTCCTCACAGGAATGGTCCATTCCTCTGACCATTTTTTTGTGGCTCTCCTCTGGACCCACTGCAACAGGTCCATGTCTTTCCTGTGCTGAGGACTCCAGAGCTGAACGCAGTGCTCCAGGTGGGATCTCAGCAGAGCAGAGTAGAGGGGCAGAATCCCCTCCCTCGACCTGCTGATCGCGCTTCTTTTGATGCAGCCCAGGATACGGTTGACTTTCTGGGCTGTGGGTGCACATTGCTGGGTCATGTGCAGCTTTTCATCCATCAGTATCTCCAAGTCTTTCTCTGAAGGGCTGCTCTCAATCCCTTCATCCCTCAGCCTGTATTGATATTGGGGGTTTCTCCAACCCACGTGGATGACCTTGCACTTGTCCTTTTTGAACTTCGTGAGGTTCTCATGGGCCCTCTTCTCAAGCTGGTCCAGGTCCCACTGGATGGCATCCTGTCCCTCAGGCACATCAATTGCACCACTCAGCTTGGTGTCATTTCCAAGTTTGCTGAGGGTGCACTCAATCTCACTGTCTGTGTCATTGATGAGATATTGAACAATACTGGTCCCAATACGAACGCCTGAGGAACAACACTTGTCACGGATCTCCATCTGGACTTTCAGCCATTGACCACTACCCTTTGGATGTGACCATCCAAACAATTCCTCATCCACCAAACAGTCCATATATTGAATCTGTGTGTCTGAAATTTAGAGAGAAGGATGTTGTGGAGGATCATGTCAAAGGCCTTACAGAAGTCCAGATAGATGATATCCGTAGCTCTTCCCTTGTCCACTGATGTAGTCAGTTCATCACTGAAAGCCAATAGATGGGTCAGGCAAGACTTGCCCTTGTTGAAACCATGCTAGCTGTCTCAAATTAATTTGAAATCACAAATAACATAGCATTGTTGACTAACAACGTTATCCTTTCTGTTTACTTTGATATGGTGTGTCACCTACATACAGTAGAGAACAGTAGGTAATAAGGCAAATGTTTTAATCCTTCAGGAATGTCAGAAGGGATTACCAGGAACCCTCTGTTCTCTGCTGGTGTAAAAATATGCAGAAGGGAACAAATTAATTCAATGACTCTGTCACTGTTGAGGATCAGCTGTTAAGCTGCATCTCTGCATCCTCTTTGTTTCATGCGACCAGCAGGGATGCAAGTACTGGCTGTCAGCCGGTCTGTCTGCTGTGACCTCCCCATGGGAGCTGCACAGCATGTTCATGAAACCAGAATTATTAAATATTAATAGTGTTGGATTTGGGGGCTGTTTTTTCAAGCACTCTTTATCACAGTATTTCAGATTTCCAATGCCATTTAAAATCAATTTCTTTTAAAAGCTGAGAACTTTTTCCAGTACAATAATTTTTCAAAAAGTACTTCAATTCAGCTTGAGTTTACTTAGAGTCATATTGAACAGAATCTTATTATAACAGGAAAATTCAAAAACGAATACGAAAGAGCAGATTTAGTCCCAATTTAACAACAGTCAGTGGGCTGGTGGTTGTATAAATGTTCTGCTGTGGGTATAGGACTATAAAAGCTTTGAGGAACATAATCGCACCAGCAAGATTAGAGTTTTCCTGGAAATAATTTTGCTAACTGTAAGAATTACCCTAGTTTAATCCTTGGAGTGTTGAATTGCTGAAGTGCCCAGGACATGATTACCATCAGCATCATGCACTCTCATGCATCTCCTTGTTTCTTTTGTTTTGGTCTCTGTAAGGTCAGAGTCTCCTTTTTTCTTTCCTGTTTGTCCTGTACCTCTCCTTCAGATGGGAAGCAAATAGATCTAAACTAGACTGCCGGTACGTCAAGTACCCTGCATTTCTGCTGCCACTTTTGTTTCTTCTGCAGAGTTAGCATAATTCACCATTGTTGCCAGCTTCCTCTGAAACCTCTTCTGCTTCATCCATTAAATCAGAGGCCTCATGCTATCATTCCATTAATTCTTAAGTTTGTTGCTATGATACGACCTTCTTCTTCTCAACTTTGTCCCTCTGCACCCCCTCCTGACTCTTTTTTCTCCGTGAGTTTATACAGCCCTTCTCTGGCAGTGTTGTCTTCTGCATGCACTTCCATTTCTCCAATTATTCTTGGACTCCTTTTGGCATCTGTTTTCCACTTCTGTCCTCATCTTCCAGTGAATGCCTCACCCCAGGTTCTAGCGAAGTGGACCCCAGACACATCAAGGCAGAGATCAGCAAGAATTAAGTTTAAGCAGAGGTGCTGGCCAACGAGACAGCAGATACTGAGCCTTAATTAAGCAGCACATGTGGTCCCAAATGCTGTATGCAGGGAAGTCCATGCTGAAGTTATTGGGAGCTCTTTCCAGGCAAGGAATTAAAATCTTTAGGACTAAACCCAAAGTGGTAGGACAATAGTTTCTTTTATGTAAAAACAGCTGCAAAGATTGTGTTGCAACACTAAGAACATTTGTACAAAACAGTATATGTGTTGTATATCATTATAAAACAATATATTGATTTCTGTCTTTCTTTGCTTTAAGAGAGATTTAAGAGTAATGTCATATTCTATTGGGCATACTTATGTGCAAGTAAGACACTGCATTGTACAAGCAAGAATTTATCCATTTTTTAACTGGTTCTGATAAAGCAGGTCTATGAAAAAATCATTACAAACTAATCATAATAATTTAGCAGTGATAATGTCCTGTATTTTTTAGTTACATGGCATAAAACTTTCCCTGTCACTGCAAATTATGTAAGAAATGTTCATTTGGCAGATTCAGGTATCTCAAAATAGATTTAAAAAAGAAAGGATCTTTCAAAGTACCAGATTTCCTTATCATCACAGTATTTTACAGTTGAAAACTAATAGCCAGACCTCTATTGAAATTCGCTTGTGTGGAAAAATATTGAAAGACATGACATCAGCTAAAAACAAAATAGTTGGACAGCATTTGTACATTTAATTGCTATAGCTGTTTCGTAAACATGAAGAGAGAGAAAGAAAACAGCACTACTAAACTGTTCAGTATCCATTTTTTAATGATTGCACTCTATCAAAGGTTGGATACTCAGAAGCTCAGTTGTAAAACTTTGCATAAAAACGATGAGCGAAATCATCCACAAATTCCTCAGGCAAATAATTTACAGATTCTTCCTTATGCTTAATTTTCTCTATCCTATTTTGTAGACGTACATTAACTATTGTATTTATATATATATATTTATATATATGCCAAACTTTAAGAAAAAAGCACTTTAAGAAATGAAGTGTAAAGCAACATCTGGAGAAAAAAAAGGTGATGTCATACAAGATTGTGTTACATAAAAAAATAATAGTAGCCCTAAAGATCTGGAGATCTCTGCATTCCATTCATTCCTCTGCCCTTTTAGAATATGGTAATGCAGTATATTCAGATCTAGTTAATGATTTAATTAATTTAGGTCTCATACCACCTGTTGAAGTGAGTAAATACTTTTTTTTCTTCCTGTTTTCACAACTGACAAGAGAGTGGTTAAATTAAGTAACCCCTCTAAAGCAAGTCAACAACAGCACTGGTATCAAAACAATGTTTGTGGGACAGCCCTATGGGCAGTTCTTTAGATAATATGTTTTGAGATTTTTTTGTTTAACTTGAATGCATAATTATTTGAATGTCTGACCTGGGGAATGTTAAAAAAGCTTAATTTTCAAAGGTCCTGCTGATCGGGTATTGTCAAGGTTTATTATGTTTTTCGCAGATGTAGAGGCACTAAATTGACAATCATCTTGAAAAGGCTGAAGTTTAGATTTCAGTGCTTCTCCGACATCTCACTTTACCGAGTTACTTATCTAAAGCAAAATACTTGTGAAATTTCGGGAGGGGAATGCACTGCCATTTCTGTAATCTGTGTTTCGCTGTCCTGCAGAATTTTTTGCATAATCACTGTTTGAGTTTATGAAGCACATGCAAAAACATGTACATTTCTTGAATGTCTGCTGGTTCCTTATCTTTGTGTCTTTTACTGTGATGTTGTAGAGCTTGGATCATATGGAAACCTAAAATATTATGACACAATGACTGAAGAAGGTAAGAAATATTTCGGAATTGTTTGTATCAGCTTTTTTTGAAGCCCTTTAAGCGCCTTTTATGTGTTTACTTTTTCCTTCATTTTTCTTAGTGCTGTTTTCAGTTTCTCCATTTTTTAATAACTCCTTTTTGCATGTCTTCATTGAGACGCAATCAGTTATGGCTCTTTTTTCGGATTTTTTTTCTCCGCATTTCAGTTTTGCTATTTCAGATAAAGAAATACGAAGGAACGTACATGGAAAATCACACTCATAAATTATACAACACAGTATAACATAGATTGTAGCTGTTTATTTTATGCCATGTTTTACAATGCATTCAAGAAAATAATCAATTTATCAATGTTTAAATCACTCACTTTGAGAAGAGTTATTAAGGGACTTCAGTTTACTGTATTATTCAAAAGTAATTAATAAACTTTAAAACCGAGGTGTGACTATTCCTGGAGTATTAATTGTATGCTTATTTGAAATTCAAAAATAATGCAATTTAAAATCCTGATTCTAGCAATACCAGAAGGAAGTAATTATGGCCCGAATCAGGGCTCAATGAAATCTCAGGAAATTTTCCGGCTGAATCAAAAGCATCGCAGTTTATTACACTAATTCAGGAAAGCAGTTTAACTGTGTACTAAATTTCCAGTGCATGCTTTCAGTCCTAGTGTAGTCTGTATTTCTGTAATTTGGAAGTTTCCCTGTCTGAGACCTGATTGTCTGTAGACCTGATTGGCCTCTTGTCCAGCTCTCTGATTATAATGCCAGACGGATGGCTTCATGAATGTTCAGTTTAGTGATTAGTGGCCTCTTTGAGGATGGAGATAAGCTTGAGGCCTGTAAAAAAGTTAGCTGCCTATTCCCACTTATTTTTAATGCTGGAAATATAAGACGAATAGCTTAATTGTCTGTTTTAAAAACACAGTTACTTTCTAGTTTAGATGAATCTTGAGGTTAAAAAGATTTTAGGAAAACCTTCATTATATGATTTACTTACGATCATTTCTCCAGGGGAAAAAAAAAAGTGATAGCTTCTGACCATTTCCCGTTTTCTATATCTACTGTTGGCACTCAAACATAACCATACTATTCTGGGGCTGGCTGTAGGAGATTTTTCATAGAATTTTGATAGAATTTCTAGGTTGGAAAAGACCTTAGAGATCATTCAGTCCAGCCATCCCTAATCCCCATTAAACCATATCCCTAAGCAGTTCATCCACCCTTTTCTTAAACACATCCAGGGATGGGAGCTCAACCACCTCCCTGGGCAGCCTATTCCAGTGGCTGACAACCCTTTCAGAGAAGAAATGCTTTCTAACATCCAACCTGTACCTCCCCTGACTAAGCTTATACCCATTTCCTCTTGTCCTATCACCCATCACTAATGTAGCTTGTAGATGGTTCCTTCCACCTTTGTGCCTGCTGTTGGAGGATTCTGTTTTCTTCTGTAGCAGTCATCATAGGGCAGTCTTGCCGCACTGTCCTCTGTTGCCCAGGTTCACTATTTGATTCACAGAGGTGGCACTGATAGAATCACAGAATCATAGAATGGTTAGAGTTGGAAGGGACCTCAAAGATCATCGAGTTCCAACCCCCCTGCCATGGGCAGGGACACCCTCCACTACATCAGGTTGCTCAAAGCCTCATCCAACCTGGCCTTGAACACTTCCAGGGATGGGGCAGCCACAAGTTCTCTGGGCAACCTGTGCCAGTACCTCACCACCCTCTGAGTGAAAAATTTCTTCCTTAGGTCTAATCTAAATCTGCCCTCTTTCAGTTTAAAGCCATTGCCCCTTGTCCTATCACTACATGCCCTTGCACAAAGTCCCTCTCCAGCTTTCCTGTAGGCCCCCTTTAGGTACTGGAAAGCTGCTATAAGATCACCCCGGATCCTTCTCTTCTCCAGGCTGAACAGCCCCAATTCTCTTAGCCTGTCTCCATAGCAGAGGTGTTCCAGCCCTCCGATCATCTTCGTGGCCCTCCTCTGGACTTGCTCCAACAGCTCCATGTCCTTCTTGTGTTTCAGGCTCCAGAGCTGGATGCAGTATTCCAGGTGGGGTCTCACGAGAGCAGAGTAGAGGGGCAGAATCACCTCCCTCGATATCTGAAAGATGTCTGAGAGGAGATTTTACAGGGCAAACAGTGGTGTTGATGTTGTTTAAATACACCTCTCAAGCACCTGAAATGAGTTGTTAGCCCAGGCTATTCAGATACAGCCACCAGAGCTAAAGCTTTTGTGATGTGTCTCATCTCAGTCTTCATTACAATCAAGGCGCGAAGGTAATTTCTCATTGTAGCCTTACATTTAGGTATGTTAAGGTGTGTTTTTTTTTATACTGAGGTATTAAATCTGCCATTTCAAAAGTAGCCACTACATTAGTAACCTCCTGATATGCGTAAATATTCTATTGCCAGTTAAATGTAACTATTTGTGGGAAAATGCCCACACAAGTATGCTACGAACAATATACGTGTACCTAAATACTGTGCCTATCCTGAAGTAATGCTGTTAATATTGAATATCATCTCAGAAAGCCCTTCTCATCAAAAAATAATCCAGGATCATACTGTAGCAATAGCAAGAATCTTCCAGTAGCAAAAATAAGAAAGGAAACTCTTTGTCTTCAGGAGTATTAACACTGACAAGAGTCTACAATACAGTTTACCTTCTCCAATACAACTGTCATCATCGTTTTCACATCTTACACAAAGCAGGTAATGAATAGGATATCTGAGAAGCTGTATTTAGATCAAAGTGTGCTATGTCTTGAATTTTCTGTTTGGATATTCGAAAGTATAATCACTGTCACTCTGGATCACGCTCACTTGCGTTATCCATTTTCCTCTTTCTCTTCCTTTTTTGACTGAGCTTTTTATGCATTTTGTACAGAAAGTTAGTCACAGGAACGTGTAAACACGGTTATGAATCCATGGATTTCTTTCTAATATAGTACATCCTTATATCCAAGTCCTCAAACCGTGAGTGGAGATAGGTAGCTAATCTTTTCAGTCCTTCGGTGGAGAAGCACAAACACATCTATTCTTGCTGCTACATCAGAACAACCAGAGGCAAAAAGTGGTGGTTAGGTTGCAGTACACAATCAGATACAGCCTAATGGCCAGAGGCCCATTGTGCTCCAGGTCTTGGAAACTGATTCTGTCATTTTGTTTGCTTCTACTTAGTCTGAAAGTGACTTTAAATTAATTGCATATTAAATAGGCCCAACTGGGAGAGAAAATATACCCTGCCAGATGGGAAGAGACCCTCACAGTAATCTTACACTGTGGAGTAACCTCCACCAACAGCCTACTACATGACAAAACTGCGTATATTTTCATTTGACACTTCTGCAGGATTTTAAAGTTAAAAGCAAAATCACATGAGGTGGACTTCTGGAATTGATCAGTTGTGACCTACTAGTTGTGTTCCACAACTGGCCACGAGCAGAACTGGTACGTACAGTTCAGACTGTTCAACAGCCACAGATTTGACATCTTCAGACTCATGAAAGCTTGGCTATAGCTGCGTAGATGTAGTAATTCGCATTTGATCAGAGAAAACTAGACAAATGGTAGAGTCTTGAGTTTTTTAAACAAGTGGATTTTTGAAGATAAACTGTTTTCCTATCAAATCAAAGGCTTTCCTGGCCCAAGGAATCTGTAGTCTGCAATTTAGATTGCAGTCAAAGGATAGGTTTTTTAATATAACCTTGATCAGGAGGAGAATCTCTGCCAACAAATGCCAGCTGGTTATTCATGCAGATCAAGGCATGTCTATGTTATACAATACTGATTTGTTTGCATATATTCAAATAAAATCAGTTTAGTTTTAAGCTACTTTCTTTGTTAATCACCTGGCTTTGCTTACCTGTTCCTTCTACTCCATCCTTTGTAAACTAAAATGAGCCACAGAATTTATCTTAATTCAGCGAATCTAGATTAATTAAGAATTTTCTGTAGCAATCTATCCTATTTATGGCCTATGGAATCAAGCATTTTCATTCACCTAAACTTGCATGGTACCAGATGGTGTGAAAATTACTCTTAGGTAGTCAAACCCATAGTACACAGAACTGTTAAAGAGGAGACATAAGCTCCTACCTCTTCCTAGAAGTAAGAACAATAACATAAAATTCCTATGTGTTATTTCAGTAACCCCACCTAAAGATGAGAAAAAAGGTATGAGAGATGTGTGCCTAAGATGAAACCTTTGGGGCTTTCTGAAAATTTAAATGACTTAGAAATATCCTGATCTGGTCTTTTTTTGTGGTGACTCTGTGCTTGCCCTTTGCTAAACAAGTTTTGATTTGGTTTGAAGGAGGAAATTGTCAGGGAAAGGGAGGGAGGAGGCATACCTGTACTGTCTTTTTACATCTCACTGTCTTCATGCAGGCTAGTAGTACTGCTTTCCTCAGTTTCATGCTTTTGATAGACAATGTTACGTTTTTTAATCATTTCCTAACACTGTTTGTTACCTACACTGAGTCAGATGGAAGGTAATGATGTAAAGCAATGTAAGGTGAACCATGCATGTACTGAGAAATAAAAATAAACCAAAATACGGTTTCCATTTCAAATGTTGAGGTTAATTTCCATTACAGTGACTTATAAATGTGGAACGGTCTCCTGAATGAAGCAGTGTAGCTTACAATGTTAAAAGTCAGTGTAAGAAATCCGTCTTAAAGATGGGAGAAGGCTTTTAGAAATGTGAAAAAAAATGAAGACAACTTCAATTAAGCTAATCTAAAACAGTGTGAATCTCTGTGGAGGCATTTTCTTTTCTGTTCAATAATGGCTCAAGTTTCGCTATTAAAAAAAAACCCTAAATTTCAAACAATCTCAAACAAAAGACTATCTTTATAGAATCCTACATCACGTTAATTAAACTTTTTAACTTGAACCTTAAATTGAAAGGTCCTCCATCATCCCGGAGTAGGTGGAGGCATGGATGGTTCCACAGATATTGCTCAGAAAATGTCTCAGTTGCATAATTTGCATTGCTTGCAAAAAATGCATTTGTGTATTTAGGGCATCACAAGCCAAATTCTCAAACATATAAAGCTGAGTTAGAGTCTGAAACCTAAAGCAACCCTTTAGCAAACTGACATACATGTTGTATGAACATTATGCAGGAACCTTTCAGTATCCGCACATGCTTCTGTATAAGCACTTTTTAAATGCCCTTCAGAAGAAGTTAGGAACAGACTTGACTCTTAGCATTTCAGCTTAAAATATTTGGAAACATGATTTGCATTTTTTCCTCTGCTTTTTCTTTCTCTTATCTGATATCCCAAGCAATTTTCTTTCTCTCTCTCCCTCTCTTGTTCTTTCTTTAACGCTTTTTTTTTCTTCCTCTTCTGACTAAAATCTCTGTCGCTGACCCCATGCACTGAAATAACGAGATGGCTTGCTATTTACGATTGTGTTCTATGCTTAGATACTCTTCTGCAGGCAATTTTACCCTATGTGCCATGTACCAAAAAAGATAATATTTGCTATATATTGTGAATAGCTAATTAATTTTTTTGAGCGTGATGTGTTTGCAAAAAGATAGAGGCTGCTGAAAGGACAGTACTGCTTATTAAACCTCTGTGGTATTTTTTTCACTTTCCAAGTGATTTACTGTTTACAAATTGATTACACTTCCCAGCAAATGATAGCTGCTAGTCCCTGTGGACTGTGTATATGCTTCTTCACATACAAAACTGTTGGTACAGTGGTTTGAAGCTTCCATGTGTGAGATAGGAAGAGGGGATTTCCTTCTTGACTAATCATTTATTCTTGTGTGTCTTTTATTTTAGCTTGGAAATAGTGACTGTTGTCATGACTTCTCACTGTTGCTTCCCACTGTTAATCAATTATGTGATTCCATTGAAATATATTTTGGTCTTAAGCCTGCACTGTTTTTGCTGCAGGGACACTGACAGTTTTCAGTTGATATTTTTAACTGGAGGTGAAGAATTCAAACAGTAACAGTCCCTGTATGGTAGTAGTGTTCTTAAGTAGAAGCACTGTGCTATAGCCACCAGTAATACTTTTTAAAACATAAAAAATACTTAAGGAGCAATAGCAGTGAGGGTAAAGAAAGGCTTCATCTTTCTACACGACATAGACTGTCATAAGCTGTCTAGAGTCCTTATGTAGAAAGGTCAACCAACGTAGAGGAAGGATTACGTTAACTTCATTTAATATTTGCTGTCTTTGACATTGCCTAGTTTGAATGTGTCATTTGGACTCAGTGGTCAATAAAGAGTGACAGGATCTGGGACCTCTCTTAGGATGGGTTCAGTTGCCCTGGAGACAGCCTAGATGATGAGCTGCATGATTAACCTCATGGGAGACAAAAAACACCTGGCAGGTTGAGAAGAAAATTTATCTTTGAGAAGCTGGTATGGAAATCATGTATTCTGGAGATTTCTTCTTCCCCTTCTTAAGTATCTGTAGAAGTCACAAGCGCATAGCTGAGTGCAAAGTGACAAAGTTGACCACAGTTACCATTACACAATATATGAGTTCATCTGAAATTCTGTTACTCTACTACTAACTGAGACCTGAAACTGTTTGTGTTTGTTTATAATATCTTTATTCATCTGTATTCATCTTTTGTATAGGCTGAAATCTTACACCCGCACTTTTATAGATGGAACTTTACTGACTGCTCCCGAAGAAAAATAATAGCTTTTGGTTTTGATTTCTTGTTCAATTTTTTGCTGAGTTCTCCAAATAGGAAAAAGAAAAACCCTATGTTTTTATTTCCACTAAAAAGAAAAAAAGTATATGTGAGAACATCAGATAGTGTTTAATAACAATTTCGCCGTTTGAGAAGGGCTGGAAATGGATTATCAGCACTGATTTCTGGAGCCTAAGCTATGGCAAAGAAACTTTGCATCTCAAAATGCTGCATTTTAATAGCGACAATGCTTTCTTTCAGGAAAGTTCAAAGAAAGGGCCTCTATTCTGCATAAGATGGCCAAAAAGAAGTGCCAGGTGGAAGACAGTGAAAGGCAGAATGGAGCTGCTAATCACGGTGAGTGCAGCAGTACAGATTTATCACCTATTCCTGAGGGCCTTTTCACTGTTTTAATTTGCTTGAAAATCATTAGGGATTAATTTCTCCTCCTACTTCTTTTATGCTATCTTAGTAAAAATATTCTGATTCCCTATACAAAAGAGTGTGAAAATTATGGATGTGACAGGAGTGAAGTGCACAAAGAGTAAGTCAGTTAAGGCATCCAGAAAGACTCCCGGCGTGGTTATAAAGGAAAAAGCAATACTAATTTTGGGTATGTGTTGAAGTGACAGAAATAGAGAGGCAAAACTTACTTGCAGTTTATATGTGAAAATTTAATTAATTTATTGAGCTGCTCTAGGAGATTATGTGTTTATGTGGTATCACCCTTGCCACAAAAGGAAACAACCTTCATATTGAAGATTTGATTTGTCTATCTACTACTTGCTGAGAGTCATTTAGGCCCATCTATACTAATTGTGCAAAATTAGCTTACTGTGATTTTCCACTAAGAAATTGTAAGAATTTGTATTTTCGTTCAGAAGTTCCTTTACTAAAAGAAAATCTGTGCTATGTCCTGTTTTCTCGGCTTTACCTCAGCTTGTTCTCTGCATTAGAAAACCAGATGCAAGTCTGTCTGGTAAAAGCTGAATCATTTTATTAGTTGACACTTTTTCTGACCTTGTGCTATGTTTAGACACTATTTGCTTCCAGAATCAAGCAGTTGGATGGGACACAGTTAATAAACCATAATGCTGGCTGTGGGGTTAAGAGACAACATGCATGCACTGAAATAATTACAGATAGTCTGGCACTCCACTGTGGCTGTGATCTCAGATTTTTAATTTAGAAGAATCTCAGGGTAGCAGTAATGTAACTAGACAGCTGTATTTACTTCTGTGCACAAGAGCATACCATAAGGCATGTTGAACTTGAGTTAGACTTTTCATATTGCTATTCCCCATAACTTTATATTGTCCAAGGGATTTTTGGCCATTGACATTTTTATCTAGTACATACTTAAAGAGATAATTACTGTTTAGAGAATTCCAAAATAGTCAAAGTAAGAATAAATTTGAATAAATTTGGCATCAGAAACCAAAGGCCCAACTTCAGTCCTGTAATTCGCGTAAACGTTTGGCACAAGGACTACAGGATTCTGTTTTAAAGATCATCCTCTGTTATTGGATGTTATTAGACCATCCATTTACTTTTTTCCCACATTTTGCAAGAGAAAGAGCATGATTACATATTGGAAATAACTTTACTAATTGCAGGGGTTAGTGTGTTATAAAAGTAATATCTTGATGAATATATCCCTTCAGCTGTAAATGCAACATGTTGCTATATGTCACTTTTTACCTGAAACATTAGGCTCAGTGAGTTTAGTATAAAGAAAGTGCAGTGAATATTGCGGAGAATGTGCATTTTTCTAGGACGTGAGTACCAGTAGAATAGTTTCTTCAAACGCTCGTAAGAATTTTATTCAAAATGTGTACTGGTCAAACAGCAGAAGACAGAATTTTTGTCTCTCTCTTTTTAAGGCAGATGTTGTTCCACCTTCAGTATTTGATGATTTACACAGACTAAATAAATGACAGCAGTTTCACTGATAGATTTATTACTTAATATTCTGTTCTCTTTTTTTCCCCACTCTTTTTTATGGATGGTGCCACAGAAAAAGGTGCAAAAGTGGAAGTTGCAGTAACACCACCGAGTGATTCAGGACCAGTGCAGAATGGAATCGCCCATAACGTTGAAGAAGAGGTTAATGTCTTTTTTATTCTTCTTTTTATTTTTATATCGGTAAATATATTGGATACTTGATTGTGCTTTTCCCTGAAAGTGTACATCTTAGTAGCAAGAAGCTTTAATATGAACTGTCTATAGTATGTTTAATCTTAATTTACAACTAAACCCGATGTGTGGTTTACTGTATATAAAAGGTCTTCTTTTGTGCCCCTGCTCTTCAGTGTAAGGTAAGATGGTAGGCTGGAATGTGTTCTTTTAGGAAATGTGTTTTTACTTATCAGAAATGTTCGCAGCCCCTAAATATAACTAATGGAAATTGCTTGTCTAATCATCATCACATTGCACAAAACCTGTTCTCCTAAGAGGGCAGCCTGTCATGTTGTGCTTAGTGGAACAGTTAAAAGTGGTTATAGAAGAGGAGCTGTACACAAACTTCTCCTTCCTGGCTTATGTTATCTTGAGACAAATAACAAATTTAAGCTGAATGAGATATAGTATACTGGTGTTTCTATGACTCTTATTGCATATGGTTAGAATCTGCAAAAGAAGTAATTAAACACTTAAATGTATTTGTCTTAACATGTATTTTTTGTAGATAATAAATAACTGCATAACTGTGTTGAACTTGCACAATGCCTACTGAAATAGCTATATAGTTGAGCTAGCTTCTTTCTCAAATAAGTTGTAATTCTTAAGAGTAGCTGACTGCAAAACTTTGCCCTGCCAGGCTCTTTTTTAATGCCTTTTAATTTTTTTTTTTAAGTTTTATTAGTACCACCTGCATCCCAAGTAGGCAAACAAGTGGAAAAATGCTGGTGAATTGATTTTGCTGAACTTGGGCACTGCTCTTTTAGACTGAGACAGCAAAACCTGCATAGAGGGAGAAAGTCTTGTTAAAAGTAATCCTTGACAGAGAAGCTTTTATGTTTTTGTTGGTACAGTTTACTTCTTATCCTTCTCCTTAGGCTATAGTGACACAAGAAAGGTACTGCAAGAGATGGTTGAGCAGTGGTCTATACTGTAACATGAGCTTCCCCTTATTAAAAGTGGGATGAGCTGTGTTGCATTTACACAACAAAATCGTGAAAAAAAAGGCAATGACCGTGTTTTGTTTTGAGTCATCCCAGATTTAGTTTTGATATTTTAGTTGCTTTTGCTTATTTATCATTTAAGAAAACTGTTAGTCCAAATCAGAGATCGTTTTGCCTTCTTCATGACCTGAGCGATATCACTGTAGTCCTTGAAAGGCTCTGCAAGCCACAGGAAAAATTAGAAGTGACGTACGAGTAATGGAGTGTTTTTATGTCTGTTGGCTGCTTCCTAAGCACAATTACCCCTCACAAGGAGCATAATTTATACTGAAACATAACAGAGAGAGGTTATCCAGTCTTTTCTGCAAGACTCAGAAAAAACACTGTGATGTGTAGAAGGGTGTGTCTTTGGGAAAGGATTTTGTTTGCTTTACGCAGCTGGAGATGGAGAAATGACAAGATGATTCTGGTCAACTGGTGTGTTAGTGCACCAAATATTAGCATAGCTTTAATTCTTCACTGTTTGCAGATAGTTTTGGTCTCGGAATAGAAATTGAGAATCACAATCAAGGATCTAAAAGAGATCGATAATTCATGGTATTCTGAATGATCAGCAATGATAACCAGTCACCTGTGAAAAGGAGAGCATAGCAGAACATTTGATTTACCTTTTCTGTTAATCTAAATTGTTCAGATTGACATGCCACTTAAAGATCCTTGTCAGCGTAACAAAACATTACGCTTGTGTAAATGAGATGAGCAGAATCTATGTAATAAAAAACCTCAGCACCACACTTCAACACTCAACATTTTAAGGTAAGGTCAATTTTCAGATCCATTTGAATTTTGTTCTGAGAGTCCGACCCCACTGCTGCAGTGAAATATGTCTGTAGGCTATTTTTTAACTTCAGAGAAAAAAAAAAAAAAGAAACCAAAATCCAAAGCAGAGTGGCTTTTAGAGTTCTGTTCTCAAAGGTCAATAAGGGGTGACATATCCTGGTGTAACCTGTTAGGGTGTACATAAATGAGTCTGTGGGATGTATGAAAACTCTAATAGAGTTCAGTAGCTTGAGAAGGAAACTGTTCTTCTTTTGTAACATTTTTTCCACTGAGGACGTTCGGTGAAAACAATGAAGGAAAAGCAATCTTAAGCAATCACATCTCACAGCAATGTCCATATGCTATCATTTTGCATTTTAATGAAGCAGTTTCTAAGCTCATTCAGAAATCTGCAAGGTCAAACAGCCTCATCACTCAAGACAATGGTTTCAATTTCAAGCAACTGCAGGGTAAGGAGGGAAAATTATTGCAAGAGTACATTACTCAGCAATGTTTTCCTCTCGTTTCCCTTTAGACACTTTAAACTTCCAGTGACGCAGAGTTTGGAACTTTTATGTTAATTTCAGCAAGTATTAGGACATTCTGAAAAACTTTTGTGCTCTACCAGAGGTGGAATACATTATTTATCCTTATCCAAAAGACAAGATGTATCAAGCAGGGAAGTTTGTAACTGATGGAGGAGTGATTCTGCACATTTAGCTCCATCAATCTGAAAGGAAGGATTTTAGGTGTCTGCTGTCACAATGAAAAATAGCAATCCCCTAATAACATTTTTAGATGGCCCACGCTGTGTTCCTCCCCAGCGGCCTTTCTAGTTTTGTCTTCTTCCAGTGATAACCTGACAGCTGCTGCTATCTCAGGCTGCTTCAGTTATTGATACACTGGAACCCATTCTGTGATTCGAAAGTATACATTGGAATTTTTGAAAAGTGGTAATAAAAATAGTCTACTCATCCATGTGACAAATAACTAGATCTCTACGATAATTAGGACTCGACTTTGCTGTGAGGTTCTCTACCTACTCTGTACAGTACAGAGACCCTTCCTCAACATGTTGCCTGGCTTTCTGTGCACAGCTTCCCGTTACACCTTCCCAAGCTGTGTCATCAGTCTGAAGCTAACACTGGGCTATTCAGTTTCCTTCTGCTTTGTCTATTGACTTCAAGGATACTAATAGGATTATTCATGATTTATAAAAGTGTAGGCAGTGACAGAATCACACACACAGCGTTCACATGACCTTTTTCTTTGATTTTGAGGAATTTGAATTTGAGGAAATTTTTCTTTGAGTTTGAGGAAAACAGTCGTTGCCCTCCCAAGCCTTCTTTCTAGCTTTTCCAAGTTTCATGAAGATACTATGTACCCCTAGGAAACAGCGTATCTTCGTAGACAATGGTATCAGTTCTAAGAGCAGTTCTGTTCAGGGAAGTAATACTAAAGGCATAGGATAGTATACTAGCCAGTCCTCATCAATAGTTTCTCTTCTTTTTCAAAAACTTACGCGTTAAAGCTGAGCAATAAGAACAAACTCATTACAGCTCAGTCTTGCCCTACAATTGCGCTTGAATTTTGATTGGTTTTGGAACAAGTATTCTCCATACTTACACTCAAAACATAATTTGCTTCTGTTCCATGAGTAGAATTCAATCTGATGGCTTGAACTCTTGATGAATTTTACTCCAATGCAAAAGGAAGTGCTGTAGTGTCAGAATTTGGAAATACAGTATAAAATTGCTTCTCTCTAGTTTTCCATTTCTGTATGTCCAAAGATACGGTTTTGTGATCCATAAGTGCTGTTTAGAAAATCTCTTAAGAAAACTTACCTTTAGTGTCTCCATGTCCCAGTGATGATCATCTAGAACTGAGAAGACTAGAGACACTGTCTGTCTGGAGGAACCAAGCTGCAAATACGTCTTTGGGGAGAAAAATGTTGTCCTGAAAACTGTGGGCTGGGAAATGGATGTACTCACATAGCAGGTCATCAAATATTCCTGAAACATGTTTGCAGGGAGGATCCAGAGGATGTGCATAGGTATCTAATTCTTTCTCCTCCATTGTCAAGTTCCATTATAGTCTTCACGCTTTTCCCTCTTGCAAAACAAGCATAGTCATATTTGTGTTTTTTCTTACTTTTCACTTGTGCAGATTGTGGTGCCTGGGCATTTTAGTAATATGAAGTTTTGTACTGGAGTTAGAATTGTCTGAAAATAAGTACGTTGAAAATTATATGTTCCACTAGTATAAAGAGAATATGCAAATTAATCCATCTTACTTTAAACCCCTTATTCTTTTAAAAGTATGGTGTCACGCAAAGGACCCTTGTGAAAGGAAGGTCTCAAGCTAAGACTGCAAGAAAAAGGGGAAAAAATAGCTTTTGTGTTTTGTTTTAATTTTCATATATTTGTAAATTAAACTTCTCTTTGAAAAAACGTAATACTCCAAATGCCATGATTTAGTTTTCCTTATACCTCTCCTGGTTTCTTTAGGATTTTTTTTGTCACCTTTATATTATTCCAGACTCTCATTCTTTCCTCCTTCCCTTCTTTTTCAAATGCACAATGCTGAAGCACTACACAAGACAGTCGAGGACACTGTCAGTTAATGACTTTCACAGTGTTTCATGAACGAGGTGAATTTCACTTTATTCCCTTCTCTTTTTTTATTTTTTTTAATTTTAATTTCATTTGTGTCTTCCAAACTCTACTGTCTTGCTTTTCCCTTTTTTCCAGGCCCTTAACTCCATTCTTCTTACTCCACTCTCCTCCAGGGATCCTCAGCTGTCCTCTTGCTAGCCCAAGCCCTTGAGCAACAAGATAAACTCTGTCCTAGTGGTTCTTGCAGGAATTCAAAAAGGGTTTCCAGAAAATGTCCCCAGCAACCCAGTCATTCGTCCCAGACAGTAACACTCGTATAGTCTCACTCCCACTGTAAGCAGCAGCAGATCTCCTACACTTTGACAAAACCAGATCCTCGGCTGGGAAGGACAGACGGCTGTGATCTCCTTCCTAGCCCCTAACCAGCACGGCAGGGAACAATACCTCCTCCCACCATACGGTCTCAAAGACATTTCTGCTTCATTTGCAGCCAGAAATTGCCTTCCCTCCTGCTGGATATTGCATCTTCCTAGGGGATTTTGTTCTACTT